TAGTTCGCAGAGCTTCACTGGCAAATTTTTCGATTGTATTCTCTAACTCCTTCATGGATTCTTCATCAAGTGGAACGACCTTGCCATTAGAGTCTATAACCTTGTCACATGCAGCAAGAATAATCTCGGAAGCACCTTTGCAATGTGCTCTGAAGCTACCATCAGGAAGCTCTAGAACCACTCCCATGCGCTTCTTGAGAGAGTTAAAGGGTTCCACTTTCACAATTTTTGACATTTGTCGTTCCCGAAGGAAATCACCACGAAGGGATAGCCCAAATTCTAATAGCGCACTCTCAGTTGGCGTTCCCAGAATCTCAATCTTGTCATTTTTGTCTCTGACAACTTCTCCTCCAGTATTGTTAAATATTGATTGAAGGAGAATTCTCATAGCAGAATCAGGAATGTCAGTCAAGAAATCAAAAGAGATTCTAGAGCTACCTACATCCTTTATCTTCCTACATATGCAAGCCTTCACAACAGTCATATGATTAGTGGTGAGAGTGCCAGTCTTGTCGCTACAAATAGTAGTGGCAGATCCCATTGTTTCGCAAGCAGCCAGATGACGGACTAAAGCCTTATCACTCATCATCTTTTTCATAGCAAAAGCAAGGCTCAATGTTACAGCTAATGGCAAACCTTCAGGAACCGCAACAACAACAATAGTAACAGCAATGGCAAAGAATTCCAAAATTTCCCTAGCATCACCGCTAGACCACTTCCAATGGGACCCTTCTTGTAGTTTGCGGCTAAACAGTCCTTGGACCAAAACACTGAACGTCACAACAGCAAAGAAAAGGCCTATTTTCCCAATAATGTTAGCTACGCCATTGAGCTTAACCTGCAAGGGAGTTTCATCATCTCCCCCTTCACTTAGAGTTGCCATTAGTTTTCCCCACTGTGTTCTCATTCCAACAGTAGTCACAAGCATCCTGCAAGATCCATCCTGGACTTTAGTTCCGGAAAGAAGAAAAGGGTTTCGATCATTGACATTCACTGGTTCGCTCTCTCCTGTCAAACTTGATTCATTTATCAACACAGAGAAACCTGACACGAAGAGTCCATCAGCAGGGACCTGATCTCCAATATTTAAGTGGACAATATCACCAGGAAGTAAATCATATATTGAAATCTTCTGTCTGAATCCATTTCGCGTGACCTGAATTGTAATCTTTTTCTTCTCCCGATCTAGATCTTTAAACTGTAATGATTGCCTGTAATCACTCGTGGCAGTGACAAACACAACAAGCAATATGCTTGCAACAATACCAATTCCATCATGTGCGCCCTTAGGCCATCCTTCCATTACTATGCCAACTAACAAAGAGACTAAGGCACAAACAGCAAGTATCATGAGGGTTGTGTCTTGAAGGGCTTCCCATACAAAAATCCAAAACCCCCGGGCCGGGCTTTCAGTGAATCTGTTAATTCCATATATCTCTTTCCTCTGATTTAATAATTGCTCAGATGTTGATAACCCCTCGTCTAAAGAGGTAGCGAGCTTGTTTGAAATACCCTCAATCCCTCCATGAATTTTTAGCTTCTTCACATCACGACCTTCAACAATTGATCCCAACTCATCGGCACAAATTTCAAAACCTGCAGCTCTAACTTCTTCTGGTACAGTGTATTCACTTGACAATTTTAGACCTGGAGAGAGTGAGAATTTTCTTATTATGTAAATGAGAAACCTTTATAAGAGAAAAATCAATGGTCAAATACAAGAAGGCTCACCCTCTTACCATGGATAAACTGCAGTGCAGCTTGTGAAACCAAGACGGCAACTCGGAACTTCTCCTACAGTGTATAGAAGTTGGGAAAAAGGACAATGAATGAGATTCTGGGACATTTTCACAACATTTATTATGTTAACTTCCACACCACCCTAAAAATTTAAGCATTTAGGGAAGCTGTTAATAATCATGATATTACACTAAGAAACCAAAATTCCATAATCCTGCCATACTATTTAATCTAAATTCAAAGTCCATGAGATGAATATTAGGAAGTGTTCATCTCAACTTAAGGATCGCAGGAATATAAAAATGAAGAAATTGCAATGTTTTACTCAAACATATACTTCAAGAGAATTTGGTTAATTTATAAGTAACAACCAAACTTGAGAGTCTCTTTACATGAAGACAAAAATCTATTTGTTCTTTCTGCTTAATCAATGCTCCACAAGTATAAAGTTATTAGTACTTTTACCCCTCAATTCTACTTAGCATAACCAAAAACTGATAGGATATGCTAAGTGGGCAGACTTCGGGAAAAGACCAATCAGAAGGAAACTCTTGACATTACTTGCATTTTACTAATATTATGTCTATAGGCTCTTCATTCCAAAATCAAGTGACTTAACAATGTATATTGTTGGATATTCAAGCGCAGTTATGAAGTCAAAACATTTATTTTACTTTTATATCTTTATTTCACTTGTGATGAAACTTTTCATCCGCAATACATTGCGCTTGAGATTTTACAAACATAGGCACTGCAAGGAATCCAAATCATGGATTATCACCTTGCGTAATATATCTACATATACTACACAATTTATTGGTTAAGTGGGGTATAGCAATTTCTTGAATGTAATTAAGTGCCGTGAGTTCCCATAGTCCATCCTAAAAGGAGCATCAAACCACACTTAACGTAAACACCTGGTTTTTGTGCTCGATTTAAGCAACTTCGGGAGCAGAGTAGTCGTCCCCTGTTAAAATACACCAGGATAAAACACTTCACTTATTACTCAGAACCAGCCCAGATTTCCATTTGAATTGAGTTGTGAATCATATAAAGCAGTATGTTGAAGAAAGGGATCAAACTTTTGTCAACTAAACTTTAATAAACAGCATCAAAACTCCATAAACAGAGCTTGAAGCGAAATAGTTATTCAGATTTATCGACAATGGGGACAATTGTTGGGATGGGGAGGAGAAATATGAAAGCTAAAATAGTAAACACTGCAGTCCGATACTATTTTTCCCACTTGCCTTCTTCGAAAGAATAAGACCAGGCGTATGATTCCCTCTAAGCTTCCCTCAAAGTTTCTAAATAGTCATAACAAAGGGGACAAAGTACAAAAGAACAAACCTGATTAGAGCGTCTTATGGCTTCAGCTTCAAATCGTTTGGAGAGATTAGCGGTGAAGCGAAATCTCCTCTTACGGTTTTTCACAAGCCAACAAAGTTTTCTCCATCGCTGAAGCGCTTCCTCCGAGGAGTTCTTAGGTTTCACGTCACCAAAGTTCTCGTTCAGATAAGTCTCCATCTGTGCCTTCTCTAACTCAGCAACTCAAGCCCAATCTACTGTAGTCCACGATCCGCTCATTCAAGCTCAGAAAGAAAAGCTAAATCAAATCGTTAAAAAAAAAAAAAAAAAAAAACATTGGGAATCGATTTAAGGACCAATATCAACTTCTCTTTAGTTGATATCTCTTGAAAATTTACTTTATTCCCAACTTAAGTAAGGGTATGGCCGCAAATCGCAGTCGATTTGGAAACACTGAGATGCTTAAGGCTCCAAGGTTCAGATTTAGAAGTTCTTAACTGTAACGAGGTTGCTTAAGCTTCCAAGCTTGAGGAAAGTGTTGAAACTGGAAGATGCAAGATCTGCAAGTCAACATTATGCTAATGGTTTTGTTGGCCTTTGCTGTGAAGATGTATTTACTTTATATAAATATTAAAACGCATATACAACACATATTTGTATTTTAAGTTACTGGAGATACTTACTCTAGAGAATTGTGGAAATATGTAATACATTGTTCATTGCTTTACTGGAGTCAAAATATAGTTTAACATCGGATGCAGTGTTGGGCCGACAAGTACTGGAGAGGAGGGGCCTGCAAAATGCAAATTTAGTTATAACGGAAAAAACAGTTATAACAAGACTAAAATATCTTTATTTTCTTACTAAATCGGAAAAAAAAAAATCATTAAAATATGTCTTTTCTTTAGTTCAATATTATAAGAGATCGTTAAAAAAATAAAAAAATTACGAAATATCAAATGAAAATGTCAACAAAATTTTATTATTATTTGTAAATTTATTGTTATCAATATCAAAAAAAGTATTGTCACTAAATCTGATTTAAAATTTAGTAATTTTCAGTTTTTTTATCATTTCTTTGGTTAAAATTCTTACCAGTTTTTCTATGAAAATACCAAACACATTTAAAAGTTTTAAAATAGTTTTAAAAAATGTGAGTTTCTAAGATAAATATTTATAAAAGTAAAAAAGAATTTTTTTTTTTTTTGGCTGATAAGAGAAAATATCGGTTCTCGTGTGTGACTGGGAGAAGATTAAAACAGCGGCTGACTTTTGATCCCCCCGGGGGGGGGGGGTGATGTGATTGGTTCCGGAACGGGAATCCCGCTGTCCTGCACGTTGACAGAGTGTGCAATTTAAGACATGGGTCCCATTTTGGCTTAATTTGTTGGGCGAAATCATAGATAAATATCCTGAAAATTTGGAAATATAAATCATTAATTCGAAATTCAATAATTTCAAATCAATCCGTTTTAAAATTTTTGAAATATTTATATTTTCATAGATTAATATAATCTTTACTCTTCAACTTTCTCCTCATTTTTCTAGTCCCTCAAATTTTTTATTTAAAATATTAGTCCTATAATTCAATAAAAATCTGAATCATTTGACATTTAAGGAATCAAAACTTATAATTTAAAATTTGAGAGACTAAAATTAAAATAAGAGTAAAATTGAGGGATCAAAAATTATATTAACCCTTCATAATATTGCTCTTTCTATTTTAGAATATTTAGATTAGCTTTTTAGAAATTATTTTATGGAGTATGAAATGAGTATATAAAAAGAGTTTTATCTCGATTTATGTAAAAAAATTTAAATACTTTTTCAATATATTAAATTCTCCCTTGAAAAACAAAAGCCTCACTTTATAAAATATCACCTCATTACTCTTGGTGGCTACTAAAGGTTTTTGAGGTGTTTGCACGAAAATAAAACTATAATTTTAAAAATAATTTTAAATATATAAGAAGAATTTTGTTAAAACTTGCTTAAAAACACTTTAGTTGCCAGTGGCTATGATTTTTTTTAGGCAGAATTAGTTTATGAATTGTTGTAAATATTTTAAAATATTATTTATTGTTGAACAAACACAATTTTATGAGTGCCATTAGCAGTATTTAAAAATAAAGAATTTGATCTTCATAATAATAGTTGGCAAAAAAAATCTTCATAATACTTCTTGGATTCTAATTATAAGATACCATTTATAGATTATAAACGGCATAATTAGAACTAAAAGTAGTAATTTTTTTTTAATGTTTTTTTTTGTACAATTCTTTTATGTTTATTGAATGGAGACGACATGGGTCACTTCATTTGAAGGACGCTTCGGAAGCGGTGACGACCACACACCGGTGGATTGGTAGAGATTGAGATCTCATGGCCTCTATTGATTTTTAAGCCCGCCGGGGTTTCCAAAAAATAACGAATCCCAATCCTGTCCCTTTTTGGGCCTAAATCCGCAGCATATCCTTAGCCTTTAACAATGCAAAACAAAACTGGCTTCCCTCCTATTTTCGCAATATCCAGCACTTAACATTTAGAATTGGGCGGTCCTCGATTATCTTTGGGCCTCCGTGTACACCCATTGTGGCACCTGCCTTGGACCAGATTAGTGAGCAACAAGTGAGGAGATAAATGACCAATCCCCTGGCCCCGCGAGTCAATCTGACCAATCCTATGAGAAGTTTTCTAAGGGAATTTTGATCACCAGTTATTAAAAAAATAATAATAATAATTTGGTCCCATGATCCCAAGGTGTAATTTTGGACTCATTTGAGTGTAATTTAAATAAAATGACCCGGTCCCATAATAAAATTCTCTCATTAAATAAGATTTAAATCATTAATCCTACCGAAAGCTCAAGACGAATCTAACCTTTATTGGTTACTAGTAAAATAAGATTTTTTATCAAAAAAGAATGGTTAGGGTGTAAATTTGTCAAAAAAGAGTTCCCTCTCTAATGTTTGAATTTAATTTAATCTAACTTTATCAAAACCTCGCATTTATGGCTTTCGTGACTAAAGGAGTCAACGTATCTGATATGTGATTCTGCTCTCGAGGCAAGTGATTGAAGCTAACCTCTTTAAATTGCTCAGCTAGCCCTCGAGTAGCCCTTAGGAGCATTGGACACCAAAAAAATTATTAGCATGCAAATTTATTCTAAAAGTTTAAAATTGTAACAATTTTATCTTCCACTATTAAAAGTGTTAACAATCAATATTATTATTTCAATGGTTGGCGTTAGTTTTCGAGACAAATTCATATGTCAAAAATTTCTGAGTACTCAGTAAAAAATTTTAGAATAAATTTATATCTTAACCCAAAAAAACTAAAATACGATGGTGTGCGCGTGTGTGTTATGGTACTCGCTTACTTCAAAATAATATAAGGCGTTTTAGGGGGGAAATGAAAGTGTGGGGCTGGAAAAAGGGGAGGGAGGCGCGCGTGCAAGGGCAATCTAATCAGCCTCATTTCCCTGTCTGCTTATCCCTTTCCTTTTGACTCCGTTTCATTTGATTCATTATTTCACACATCATATCCCAGCCACTCCCCCCTTCTCCTTTTTCGTTCATCATCATTCACCTTTCACTCGCATGTGCCCATGACCTCGGATGCGTCACTCCCCCCTCTCTCTTTCTCACATTCCTTCGTCTAATCATCAATCTTATCCAACTATTCTTCTTCTGTAAACAAGTGTCGCGAATGGGATTGAACTCGCGGCACTTCGTTTGTGTAAAATTTTCTTATATATACGCCACTAACCATTGTATCCTTCTCTTTTCTCTCACTCTACGCACACATGTGTGCGAGGAACTGTGGAGCGCTAGCTAGGCGCCAGCACTGTTTACACCGAGATTAAATCATATTTATCATCTTTAATTCCCTTCCATTCTTAAATACTACTGTGTCACATCCTTGTGATTGTCTGAATCCCACATATTGCATTTTCGCAAACATTTATGTTAGCCAGTAAGCAGTGTGACTTTCACGAGCCAGTGTTTTTTATACTAGCTACCTTTAATTTATTTTTTTCTAATGAATTATTGATCAAATTTTGCATTTGATTTAGGTTTCAGGATCAGAACTGACCTTTGCAGTGCATTAAGTGAAGAAGGATTATATATGGAACAAAGCGACCACACTCACGCATTGAACTTTTCCTTTTGAGCTTTGCATTTTCACTTTTCTTAGGCATCGATATTTTTAATATTGTCAATTGGGTTCATTATTATAAGCTTTATGCGTCAGAAGCAAAACAAAAACATACCATGCAGTACACTATAATAGTCTTCTGAATCCGATTCCACGCATTTATTACTCTGGTCAGGTGAGAATGTACTTTCAATACTAACGTGGCAATAAGGATAACCACATAATAAATTTGTTGCAAAAAAATTCAGGCATGGAAATTTAACTACGTACATCAATAAAATTTCAACAATTTAATTTGCAACAGCGTAACGCTTTAAAAGCTTAAAGGTGTAATAGGTTAGTTGCAAAAATTGACATCCTTTCTCCGGTATTTTTTTTTAATACCAAAAATCCTTTCTCACGTAATTTCGTATGTTAAAAAAAGAACTTTGATTTTCCTTTTGAAGATAAATGATCTATTCATTGATATATTGCAAAGGAAAAAAGGTCAGAATAGGCAACACCAAAGTTACATCATCATAGTCCTATTCCCACAATGGAGTGGGAGCATTGGTGGCCACATGCGGGCCAAGAAAAAGGAAACATATCTTGCAACTAACTTTTTATCTTGAATCGATGATAGTTGATCCACGTTAAGCAAAAAGAAAGGCTAAGACCAGATACCTGGCTTCTATAGGATGAATCCCTCATAGAAAAAGCTCATGGACTTGTGTTTTTCAGTGGAATTTAATCATTATGTCTAAGATCTCTTCCATTTATTCTCTCCTCTAATAATACTTTCGTTTGAATGACTTTATCTCCTTCGATCACCAGATACTCCATTATTTAATTTTATGCTATTATCATGCGAAAAGAATAACACTAACTGCCAGAGGATATATCTCTGTGTGTGTGCGCGCGCTGCTTCAACTGATTAATCAGTATAGTGTATTAATTAAATTTGTAATGATTAATTCTTCTGACCATTTAATTCTTTTCAATAGGAGTATTCCTTACACACACACACACACACACACACGACATCCAAGCTCTCTCTCACACACAAGATATCTCATTGAAATTTCCAAATTAAATGTTTATGTTAATCTTGTGGGAAGACATGGATACGGGAAATTCAGATTCTTTGGAGTGGAATATAGTAGTATATTATCTAGTTTTGTTTTGCACGGTTTTATATTTGTAATTTAAATTAGTTTTAAAAATTGATAGTTAAACAGATTATTGTCTTCATCTTATATATTATTCCTTCTCAGCCAAAGAACACGATCAATTACTGGCCTGAGTCGATAGAGGCATAGAGCTCCTAAGATATGCTTTTCCTCCTAGATATGCTAGCGCGGCATATTATAAGTCTAAACTTGTTGAAGTATTGATGTTTTTGACTTTGAAAGTAATTAGTTGTAAATTATTGTTGCCACCAAACGTGTCT